TAGCCAATTCCCAGAAATGCCAGCCACCATCCTGTACTTTAACAAACATACTCTAAATGTTGCGAGCCGAGAATATAAGAGGAACTGGAGATAGATATCAGTTTTAGTAGCAAAGAAAAACAACCTGTATTAAAAAATTGGAAAATGCTAGTAAATTTCATGATTAACCATAAAGAAACACCAAGTAAAATTAAATTTAACATGAATTTTGGTAAAGAAAAATTTTATACTTGTAAAATACACATATTTTTTTGTTTTATTTACAACTTAAATAAATAAATATATTATTTAACCATGTAGATCTACATGTATGTAGTAGGAATCATTTACTTTAAACTTTTGCATAATTTTACTGGCAAAATACTGTAAAACACTACAGTGAAAACCTGTAAATTGGTTATTAACCTGGTGAAATTCAATAAAAACTTTCAGAAATAATGGTAACACTTTAGTTTATGTAACAATGTACTACATGTACTACTGGCTTATTACCAGCCTATTATTAAGATTTGAACTGTTTATTAACCCTTTATAAAGTATGATCTTATTTTACATCTGTAATCCTAATCCACAGGTAGCAGTAATAGATGAGCTACAATTTACAGGTAGAGTATGCACTGCGCTCCTGCGTTAATCTTATAAACAGAATAAATCAAAAGGTCATGATCCTTCAACAGACATTTAACTGACTATAAGAAACTTTGCAAGTGTAACGGCAGCCAGCTAGTAAGTGATAGGTCACTGGTTTTATACTAGCTCGGAGCAGGTTGGGTGGCATTGGATTGGTGGGTTTACATTGGTGCCGTGACCCGGATGGGAGTGAGATAGGGGGGTGAGTGTAACGGAGACCAGCTAGTAAGTGCTGTGCAGGTTAAAACCTCACTCCTCTGACCTCTAAAGGTGCTCTAGCGACAGAAGCTAGAGGCCATGGTCTTTATTCTCCTTGTTAGAGCAACCAACTCCCATGCAGATGGTTGCCGGTTCAATACCAGCTCGAAGCGGGTTGGGTGGCGTAGGACCGGCGGGCGTAGGACAGGCAAGTACATGTCAACTTACACTAACCCTAACCCCAACCCCAACATAACAGTACTTATAATCTACAGAGAGTTAGTTGGCATATAGATGCAATGTAAATTAAATTCAACAAACGGACCATCAAAACAAAGTGATTTCATTCTAGCCAAAATAGAACAAATAAGACTTTCTCCAGAAGAAAAAAATATTATAGGAAATGCTTTGAAAAAGATTCTTGCTCATCATTTGGGAAGTACTTAAAAAAGAAAGTAAAATTCACAAGTAAAATTCACATAATATATATGATCAATATAATCTCTAAAACCTCAAATGTTTCTATGCCATATTAATTTTTTCTGTCAACGAAAGCTGCCATTTCCTAACAAAAAAAGCAAGGAAAAAAAACAGGTCAGAAAAAAACTGAGGAAGGAAATCATCATCCCTAGGGTAAAACTGAGTAATATCTGCTCTCTTATACCAGTAATGCACATATTCAAGTTCATCTGACCCCCTCAAACCATTTTAGATCATCTGAACCCCCACGGCTTGTGTTTTAATCAGCAATCATTTTCACAAGGATCATCGTGCTCTGTAATATATAGTATCTAAATGTCCTGCCCGCGAGCTCTCTCTCTGTATGTAATCCAGAGGAAATGGGAACTCAAGCTCACTATCAGGTCAGTGGATTAGTTTGAAGACCCGGCGATCCACAATTTTTGGACACATGCTGTGATGTTCTGACCGGGATGAGACCTTGGTTTCGAAACTAATTTCGGTCTTTGCTGCTGTGGCCACGGGCAAGTGTTATTCCAGATAATAATATAACGTTGCTGTTATGAAATGAACCGCAGATATGACATTTGGACATTTGCTGACACATATCTGGCAGACGCATGTGAAGAGCAAGGAGAGTCCTATGACAAACAAATCCCGCAGGAACGTGTCCCTAGGAAGGGGAATTTATTATATGCTACTTATAATAGAATAGATTTGTTTTACTGGCAACTTGATTATTCTCTGTTTCTCTGAATTGATGATTTATAGTTATGTGTTTGAGTAAAAATTTGTTTTATTCCTTAAACAACTGATGACATTTCCTACAGATTTGAAATCAGATTGTTATTTAGAGTCTTTTTTTTGCATCAAACAACAATTGGTCAAAATAAGAAACAAAAAATGCAGTTTTTAGATGATTACACTGTAAAAAGTGATTATTTACATTATTAAAAAGGTGATTAAACCCCTTGTAACCATTAAGTTGACTTAACTTAATGTTATAATTATCCACATAGTTTATTTATATAATAATTTTAAGGCAACTGTCACGATCGCCAGCGATCTGTCCTCAAATTGCTGGAGAGCTACACATTTGTCTGTTTAGTAAACTACAACTCCCATCAAGCAACTCAGACACACCAGTTCCTGATTCCCATTACACACACAGAGCTGGAAGCCCATGGTGGACTTTAAAAACAGCATACACTCACAGACTTTGCTAAGTCTGGTTTTTGTAACACCACAAAGCCTTTCCTAGTCTTGTCTTTCTGTGTTTGATCCTCGCCTTGTTTCCTTGTTTACATTGATTGCCGCCTGTATTGAAAGCTTTGCCTGTGACCTCGACTACGCTTCGGGATTACCCTTATGCTCCTGTTTGTACCTGTTGACCATTGTCTGCCTGTAGTGGTGGGCTAAACGAGGTTTTTTGAAACACTGAAACAGTCTAATCAAATGTGTCGAAGCTTCTAAACGTTTTGAAACCTGTGACACCTAGTGGTCATTTTTATGTAATGCTTTGGAACAGCTTCGGCACGTGGTAGAGTTAGAGTGGTTTAGGGAAGTAGTGAAAGTTCCACACTAGCATGATAAGATAATGAGTTAGAATCCAGGGTGATGCAACTATAGATGTTAAAAAAATAAGCATTCTGTCAAAGCATGCTGTCAAGTTTTGTTATGTCGTACAAATACTCTGAAATTATGACTTGATGTAATTTAATAATGACTTTTACTTTATGACCATAACAAGACATTTTTATTCACAAAATGCTCATTCAAGTCACAGCACAGTTACTCTTTGCACACACACGGTCCACAAGGCTACATGAGATTTTTTTTTCCAACCCTGTCAGTCGAACAGATTCACCAGGTCTCGGAACGTTTCTGAAATGACCGATGCTTTAAATCGTTTTAGTCAAATGACTAATCAAAACACTTTAGTCACATGACCTGGGTGTTTTGAATCACCTTGGTCACGTGGCCTGGGTGTTGTTTAGATGCAGTATTCGTTGCAGTATTTCGAATCACTTGGGTTTCGAAATCTCCACACTGTGTCGAAACGTCAGTTTCACATCAGCCGTCCCTACCTGGCTGACGATTCTTCGTAGATCCTCAACTCTGTTGTCTTCCTGACTCCCCGTTGGTTACAGCAACGGGTTTACTCACTTTTTTGAAGTAAAGTCAACTAATTGCATTAAAAACAGTGGGTTTACTCGCTTTTTTTTAGGTAAAGTCAACTAATTGCATTAAAAGTCCACTAATTGCATTAAAAAACAACAGGTTCACCACTTTTTAAAGTAAAGTTAACTAATTGCATTATAAGCAAAGGGTTTACTCACATGTTTACAGTGTATATTGATTTTCGGACAACAAAATAGCATAATAGCAACATAATATTTAATTTCAGAAGAGCTACAAAACAAATATTTATTCAAACAATCTAAATATAATCAAGAACGTAAATAAATGAATAAGCAATGACAGTTTCTTGCTGATTTTTTTTATCAAATGAAACAAACCAACAAAACAATCTGAAATTTTGTTTGTCCCATCTAATTTTTAAATACTCATTTATACTCATATATTGTATACTCAGTTTTAGACAACAAAATAGCGTAAAATAATCTAAAATTGTATAGGAGCTAAAAAACAACTAACATTTAGTCGAATAATCCTGCTTTTCAGTAACATGAAAACATCTAAATGTAAAAATCTAAATAAAATCTTTGTGATTCACAGAAGAAAGCAATTATATAAGTTAAAAAAATTTGTAATTTCTTGCAGATTTTTATTAAATGAAAGTTAGATAGTTAGGGTGGCCAAAAAAACAAACAAACGAAAGATCATAACACTTCTTGACGTTTGTCCCATCTGAGACTTTCCATCTAAAATATCACAAAGGCAGATCTATTTACTTTATTAGCAAACACAAATGTAATTCTCATTTTCCCAGTGTTTTTATTTAACTAATTACACTAAAAGACACAGGTTTACTCACAATTTAAAATCAAACCAACGAATCGCATTATAACCAAAGAGTTTACTCACTCAACTAATCGTCTTTTTACAGTGTATATTCATTTTTAGACTACAAAATAGCATAACAAAATATTAAATTTCATAAGAGCTATAAAAAAAGCTAATATTTAGTTGAATAATCCTGTTTTTCAATAACAACAGATGAAATAATTTAGGGGAAAAATCTAAATATATTCTTTGTGATTCACAGAGAAAACTAAGAAGTAAATAAGTGTTAATAGAAGAGTCGTTTCTTGCAGATTTTATTTTCTAAAATGACAGTAAAACAGCTTAAATCACTTTAAACCTTGACGTTAAGCTTACTTTAAATACTTTAAACCATCTAAAATATCACAAAGCCAGAAGTATTATTATTTTTTTCAAGTACAAATTCAATTCTCATTTTTCCTCACTGTTGCATAACTCTGAAGCCATTGCTGTCAGAGGTTTGCGAGAATCAGTAATAGTTTGTTAAGTGCATGTTTTGTTGATCTCCGGCTACATTAAAGCTTCTCTCGGTCCTTACAGTCCATCACTAATTGATATTTGAGAGCTGCTCGGCTTTAGAAGAGAGAGAACTACATGATCACCTTCCTCTAAACACACAGAACATTCTGCACTCTGATGCGAGGACAAAAAAAAGCAGGAATGCCATGTCACAGGCTCCAAAGAAATACCACAACATCTCGGTGTACCTGTGGATCTGTGCGTCCCGTCGCTGCAGGCATGGTCGAGTCCCAGACGACTTTTTTTCGGGGTCCTGTAAATCGCTGTTAAGATATGCTCGGAGTTCCTCCGAATAAGAAAGAGGGAAAGTTAGCGCAAAAATCTTTAGAGGAAATTCATGGCACACAGCAAGGACAGCCGTCCAGACAAACAAGCAAACAAGTGTGTCATTCATTCATTTTTTTTAATTCCTGCACATTTCAACCCACTGGACTGGCTCGCAACAAAACTGAGCGCTGCTTTGTAAACAGTAAACCAGTCATCAAATATATCCAGTGTAATCACAGACTGCAGAGAGAAGAAAGACGAGGTTTTTCGAGTTTTCTTGTTCGGCTGCCCAGTTTGTATTATTAGACTCGAATTCCCCCATTGCAGTCAAAGGCTTATTCACTCGCCCAGCGTGTAAAATACAACATCTTGATATTTTTATGAACGTGCGGCCGATATGTGGTGTGTGTTTTAACAAAGCAAACAAAAAGACTTAATCTGGGTAAACGGTGATAAGTTTGCTAGTTTGTCTAACGCTAAAATACTCTCTCCATATTTAAAGACTGCTTTAAATCAGGCATTTGGACTGTAGGGTGTTATATGGGAAAATGTCAAGCCTGGGTATTTCAGTATTTGCATGTTAGGCTTGACGTGTCGAATTCTTAGTTTTGAGATGGGACGACCTGTTTGTCTGGTCAGTTTTCATGTCACATTTGATGGAAACGGCTGTTATTTTTACAAATAGCTGAGCAGAGATGCTTAAAAGTGATAGCTGACCCTAAAAATTAAGTTCATGTCACGTCTTTCTAAATTTTTAGATGTCTAAATATTTAAACAGTGGTGTCACGGTGGCACCGTGAGTAGCACGATCGCCCCACAGCAAGGAGGTCACTGGTTCGAACCTCAGCTGGGTCAGTTGGCATTTCTGTGTGGAGTTTGCATGTTCTCCCCGTGTTCATGTGGGTTTCCCTAGGTTCTCCAGTTTTCCCCCACAAGTGCAAAAACATGTGGTATAGGTGAATTGGGTTGGCTAAATTGACCGTAGTGTATGTGTGTGAATGAGTGTGTATGGATGTTTCCGAGTGATAAGTTGCAGCTGGAAGGGCCCTTTCAGCTGCAACCCATCACTGGGAAAGGGTGTATATATAGTCCGGATAATCAATAATAATGAGAGTCAGCTGTACATGTATGATCAGTGGAGAAAGGTGACTGGTGTGTGTAACGGCATGCAGGGATTTGTAGTTCATGGATGAGCTTGTAGTTCACTAGAGATCTTCCAAGAAGTGATTGCTAGTGTATTAGTCAGTTTATTCATTCATTTTCCTTCAGCTTATTCCCTTATTTATCTGGGGTCGCCACAGCAGAATGAACCACCAACTATTCCAGCATATGTTTTACCCAGCGGATGCCCTTCCAGCCACAACCCAGTACACACACACCAATATAGTTAATTTAGTTTTTTCAGTTCACTTATACTGTATGTTTTTGAGAAACCAGAGCGCCAAGGGGGAAACCCACATTAACATGAGGAGAAGATGCAAACTCAACACAGAAATGCCAACTTGCCCAGCCAGGATTCAAACCTGTGACCTTCTTTCTGTGCGGCGACATTGCTAACCACTAAGCCACCATTTACAGTGATGTTTAACTTATTATTATTAGTCAGTTTGACTGATGTAAGTCGATTTAACTTAAAAAGTTCATTTGATTCAACTCAAAAAAATAAAGGAGGCAAGAATGTTTTATTCTTGCCATGGAGATGCTCCCATATACTAGATTACAGTGAGCATCTGTCCGGTATTAAACCACGAAATGGATATTTTCATCTGAGACGACAGTGACCTGCTTGTTTTCTTGTTAGCAATTATCCGAGCGAGGCATAACGTCCCATTATGCCGTCACAATAGTGATTTGACTCACAAAGTCGAGAGGGAGAAGAATAATTGCTGTAATTACAGACACAGAGAGGATCAGCTGAAGAAAAGCGTGCATCAAAAGAAGCAGATCTTCCTGAAAGGTAAAGGCCTTGAGCGGAGGAACCGCCTCTGTTTAGGGTGCGGGTTGACAGAGGGTCCTTTCAGCCGCAAAGCCCTGATGCAGGTATGTTAAACATGCCAGTGTTTGCTGAGTTTCAGGTGGAGAAAAAGCAGCCAAAAAGAGCACAAGCATCTTGTGAGAGGATGATAGATTGAAGTCATTTTTTACCTTCAAAATGAAAGGGGGTGGTAGGTGCGCAGTGGGTAGTCAGCTCACAGCTAGAAGGTAGCTGGTTCAAGCCTCGGCTGGGTCAGTTGGCATTTCTTAGTGGAGTTTGCATGTTCTCCCCGTGTTCACTTGGGTTTCCTCCGGGTGCTCTGGTTTCCCCCAAGTCCAAAGACATGTGGTACAGGTGAATTTAATAAACTAAATTGTATGTATGTGTGTGAATGAGTGCTCACTTAAAACATTTGGGTTAATAATAACCCAACAGGTAACCCAATGATGGGTTGTTTTGGCACCGACCTGTTGTTAGGTTATTTTAACCCAATCCATTGGGTTGTTAAGGTTAACTCAACAATTTGGGTTACAAAAATAACTAATTTGTTGGGTTATTTTGCCAAAAAATAGTGGCTTAACCACTAATATCACAAATATGTTCATCATTTCCTCCCAAAAAAACTATTGAAATGAACACGGAGTTAGAGAGAGTGCTTTTATCCGTATCGTCTATAAAGCGCGTCTGTAAACACAACAGGAAGAGGTAATTTGATTAAAAATAAACATTTTATTACGTGTGCATATTAATACAGCTGTTCTGTCGGGTAAATCAGTTGACTGTTGAAATTCCAAATTTTTAACTAAACTGGTTGAGTTATTAAATAAATAACCCAACAAAGGCTAAAAATAACCCAACAAAGCACCAAACATTTAACCCTGGTTGAGTTATTAATAATAAAAAAAAACAATAAAGGTTCAAAATAACCCAACAATTTTTAGAGAATGTGTGTATGGACTCTAAAAAAATGTTGAGTTATTTATTTAACCCAATTGTTGAGTTAAACATATTTGGTGCTTTGTTGGGTTAGTTTTTAACCTTTATTAGGTTATTTATTAATAACTCGACTAGTTGAGTTAAATATTTGGTGCTTTATTTGGGTTATTTTGAACCTTTTTTAGTTTTTTTTTTATTTATTAACTCAACCAGTTGAGTTAAAAATTAGAATTTCCACAGTCAACTGATTTAACTGACACAAAACAGCTGTATTATGCGGGCAAAATGTTGTTTTTGCAATATTTATTTAAGCTATAACACAATAATATTGTTGTTATTTTTTTTATCAAATTACTTCTCCGTTACGTGTTTTTTATATCTGTTTCACCATCCAAGACCATCTTTTAAAAGCGTTTTGATGTGGTTAAAATTTATTGAACATTGTGGAAACTGAGTAAAGCTTGCTGCAGCTGCTGGACTGTCTCTACAGCACACAGAGCTCCATATTCTGCTCCATCAACACATGATTTTCTGCTTACACAGTTTATAACGGTCTGTACTTTGTTCCGTTTATTCATTGTTTGTGATTCTTGATTTATTTTAACAAAGGTGTCTGGAATTTAAAATGTAATGGAAATGAAGCCTTTTTTATATTTTTGAAAACTCTATGTTATTTATTTACACAGTTATAATTATAAAATGAATAATAGTACTACTAATAGTAGCAGAATGGAAAAAATATATAATTTAATCAAATTAACCCAATGCATTGGGTGATTTTGTAAGCATAGTAAAGTGGTAAAAATGTAAAAGTTTTCCTTGTCTTCTCTACAGAATTCAGAAAAGTGGTTAAAAGTGGTCAAAAGATAAACGGTATAAACAAAAAAAGTGCCTCCCTCGTCTATCTGTGATCTGATCAACCAAACACTTCCTAATAATATGAAATGTAAGGCCAACTCCAGTCTCTCCAATAGTGTATAGTGTACACCCACACATTAGCTCTCACAGTAGACCAGATTCCATCATGGATGGCAGGGTTATTTTAGGCCTCATAGTGGTCATCTGCTCTGACTCAGTGCTTGAGGTTACATGCAGAGATGTTTCGGGCACAAGCTGAGCACAAAGAGCCACAAATGCCACGTGTCCGCCAGTATTGCAGCTGTAATGGCACTGGGCCCATGAACTGTGTCAGTGACTGAAGCTTCTAATGCTTCATTGTGTATTTTAGGAGAGCAGCGATTAAGTGACCAGCACGAGTTGTCACTGTAGTAATAGTCTAATGTGTGCGTTTAGTTTGAGTGAAACTTAAAAGCACAATTTGTGTTTACCTTTTCATGAAAAGCCGATGGTTTGAAACAAATCTTCTCTTGATTGTGATATAATTATAAGAGAATTAATAATAATTTTGACTTCAACTGTAGTTAAACAGGCATTTCAGATTTTGAAATATATGTTGCATATTTGACATACTGTATATTAAGTGAACTCCAAATATGAAATTGAACGTCAGATATGTAATTTGCATGTATTTCCATAGATCAGATTCCTATACAGGGTTGCAAATATTTTGTTGAATGCTGAAAGTGCTAGCCATTGACATCCATAGACTTTAATGCAATCAAAAAGATTGTGTCTACATCTCTCTAAATGTAAAGTGCCTTTGTATATCTTAAAAATATTGTTTTTTTTTCTGTCATGACATTTTTACAGTGCAAAGAAAAGGTGATCTTTAATAATTGAAGATATTTGACTTAATGAGTGTTTAAAAAAATCCTGTCAAATGCCTTTTATTCAGAGCCAATATGAAAATACAAACAATTTTTGAGCATCATCCGTTTTGGTGGTTGAATTAACAAAACAACATTAATAGACAAGGCCCTCTATATTTTATGAATGACGTCTCTTGTGTTTACCAAAGCTTTTTGTTTGATTTTAATTGATTACTTTTTAAAATAACTGGTTTAAATTACAATATCGTCGGTGCCAATGGCGTAGTGGTTAGTGTGTGGAATTACACTGTAAAAAATGCTGGGTTCAACACAATCAGTTTTAGTTCATGCAAATTAAAGCAATTAAGTTTTTCCAAAAACAGGGAAAAACATCTATCATCAATTTAAGTGTGCTGCTGAAACAGATATAAAAACACGACATGGAGTACTAAAAAAATACATATAATTATTGCGTTAGATCTAAAATAAACCTTAAATGCAAAAACAACATTACATGCGTGCGCATATTAATACAGCTGTTTTGTCAGATAAATCAATCGACTGTTAAAACAAAATAAAAATTTAATCCAACTGGTTAAGTTATTAAATAAATAACCCAACTAAGGCTAAAAATAACCCAATAAAGCACCAAATATTTTTAATTTGACTATTGGGTTAAATAAATAAGCCAACGTTTTTTAG